CCTCATCCCCCACACTACATCCCTTATCCCATACTACAGACCCTATTTTCTCACTGCAGCCTCTATCCACCATTACGGGCCCGGTTCCCTCACTACAGGTCCGATCCCCCACTAGAAAAATTCCCAGCTACAGCCACTGTCTTCCCACTATAGCCCCTATTCCCCCTCCATATCCCCAGTTCCCCATTATTTCCCCAACTATAGCTCCTTTCCTCCCATTATATCCCCTATCCTTTCCATACTACAGCACCTATCGCCGAACTGCAGACCTTATGCAGGGCTGGCGCTACAGGCAGTGGCAAAACTACAGGGGTCGCTGAGGTTGCGAGTGCGCCCCCTGTGGCCAGCTGCCCACCTTAGGGCTTCCCAGGAGACGGCCGGCTGTTTGCCAAGGCAGAGTAGGCACCTGCTTATCTGAATGGCTTATGCCTACTCTGCCGAAATATCTGTGTCCTGAGGATGGCTGAGCATGGGCAGCAAGTGAGAGCTGATGCTTCTACTCTTTCTCATTGCTCCCTTTCGCGCCATCTGTGGTGATGCCAGGATTACAAATATGATGCCACTCTGGCGTATAAGGGAGCAGTGAGGAAGAACAAGAAGATTCAAGCAGCCTAACGATAAACCCCAGGGAGAGGATCCACTGGAAGGCAGGATGTGCCTAAAAAATATTAAAAGAAAAGATTATAAATCAAATAGCAGTGTATGTCAGTGTATGTGTACCAATGGTAGCATAAGGGGGCATTTCTTTGATTCTTGAACCCCGCCCACCCCTCCAATGTAAAAAACACCCACACATTTTTATATTTTTAAATGCATTTAGCATTGAGCAGTGTTAGCATTTTTTTTAATGTATTTAGTACTGAGCAGTGTTTGCGTGTTTGAATTTAAGCATGTTTCTTGTATGAAGTATGTGTGAGTGAATGTAGGGGTGTGTTTGCATGTAGTGTTGATATTTGGATGCAGGGGTGTATTTGTGTGCAGTGTTGGCAAAATGTTGAAATGTATGCACATATACACATTTACTCAAATATACACACACTGGCACACATGAAGCTACATAGACACACAGATGCACACACTAGCACATAGGTATACACATGCAGATACATAGATATACAGATGCACACACTAGCACATAGGTATACACATGCAGATACATAGAAACACAGTCATGCACAGATACAGACAAACATTGACACACATGTACAGAGACACATAGGCACAGACACACATACAGATATACACACATACACGGTGTGTGTGTGTATAGTGTGTATGTGTGTGTGTATAATGAGTGTATAGTGAGCAGTGTGTATTGTTTGTGTGTGTGTGTCCTCCCTGACTCTTACCTGTGTCCAGGGACGGGGGACACACTACATTTCCTGGTGGTCCGGTGGCACAGTATGGTTGCCCAGGAGTCTCCACATCCAGCAGCAGCATGTCCTCTGTTCTCATGATCGGCGAGAGTGTTGCTGTGGGTTGCCATAGCAACGCGTGACAATGCTCTCGTGATCGTGAGAACAGAGGACATGCTGCTGTTGGATGTGGAGACTCCTGCAGGAGGCATGAAAAAGCGCCCCGGGCATCCCCTAGTGATTGGCACCGGGGGCAGACCGCCCCCTCCACCTCCCCTTAGTACGCCACTGGTGTCTGTGTATCCCAAAGTGTCGATGTCATGGAAATACGTTATTTTTTTTATATAATGGCATTTAAAAAAAAAATCCTACACTGTGTTGGAATAATAAAAAGTGCCATCATATATATAAAAAATTACACTGTGACAAATAACCCTCTTTCCCCCAACCTTTTCCTTTTTTCCCCTCTGTGACAGCGATGGGAGGAAGTGATCTTATGTCATAAAATATATTTGTTTCAAGTTTTATGCTATTATTTTTCTACAAAACTGTTTTTAAAAATTGAAGTTGCCAATTTTTGTTTTGGGATGAGGGTGCACGTAGCTGGTTTTGTCTAGGGCACAAAATAATCTAGATCTGGCTCTTGCCCTATAGAAGTAGCCCATTTAATATTATAGAGGGCCCTGGCTGTGAGGCTTGTAAAAAGGATACATGTATAGAGTGGATTGAGAGGTGGGAGAGAGAGAATAACATAGGGTATGTGCATTCTTAAAATGTATCCTGAAACTTTCGGTCTAGGTAGCACCACCTCTACTAGATACAAGACACTTGGGAGCAGTTAACCTCTCCCTGCTCTAAATATTATTCTCCTCAGTACTTGGTCTTAGCAGCAATAATTAGGTTATAGATCTACCAGATAGTTCTTTGTTGCTGTTTAAGACCATTTTGACGGAGATAGAGCAGATAGTGGCTTTTTATTTATTTCATTATATTTTTGCCACCCAGCGACAGACCACAATGTGTTTTGTTATATAGGAATGAAATAAAGTGATTAGTATTTGATACATGTGGCAACATTTTCAAACTGTGGGACATTAAACCCTCCAATATATTAGAAAACGCGGAAGGAAGCTATTTAGCTGTTAAGTATTATTTTGTTCTACTTATGCACACATATCAGCATTGAGTCTCCTCCTAGCTGAGGCTACTCTCTCTGTGTATTTCTTACACTTGGGAGGTATGTCTGTTATTATGCTTTCTATCAAAAAGATTCTCAAATTAGGTCCATCATAATCATGGGCACCAGGCCCAAAGGGTTCTTAATCAAACACTGGAAGTAGAAAATTGGAACAATTTTTCTTGGCCAGACAAATCACTGTTTCTGCTGGGACATTCAAACCACAAGGTTACAATTTGGAGCAAATAACACAAACCCCTCTTGCCATGTGTCAAGAGCCCAGGCTGTAAAGGTGCAAAAATAATATATTTATAGAATACAAATAGAACATTTTAAAAGTTTAAACTTACATGGTTGCTTCATAGTTCAGTTCCCAGGTAAAGAGTAACTGAGCCGAACACACGCTGTGAGATTATTCAGGCAGTCATGAGAGATGGTGGAATGGTCAAGCAGATTTTACTAAAGAGTTTGTAAAAAGTGAAACATTATTTTGAAAATATTAACATCTAATATCTGTAAAATGACACATGGCAGAATAGGTGTTATAATAAGCTGAGCAACTAACACAATAAGAGAATGGTGGGATAAGACTCAATAACTCTCTGCATGCACATGGTGTCTGAAAAGATGGATATCTCATAGAGAAGACCCTTTCGCCGCCTCAGAGCGCAAGCTCACGCTCTGGGTCGGCGAGGGTAAGAAGGGAAGAAGTGGGGTGGAGGAAGGAGAGTTTTTTTTTTTTAAGGAAAACTGTGTGCAACGGTAGAAGGGAGCACACAGTGGAAGAGGGAGAGGGGAAAGCTATTCTTCCCCTTGCAGGAGCTCTGCCTGCAAAAGGGAAGATTGTTATGTCTGTCGGCAACCTGCAGTGCGCGCTGATGACATGTTTTTTATGCACAGAATTGACACTGTGGGCTGCCAATGTCACATGTGCTGGGGTTGCAACTAGCCCCTGGCACCAAGGTACCGCTAACTCAGTATGTGCAATGTTTCAACACTGCACTTACATACTCATATTAACATGACCACTTCAAATCAGTGAAGTGGTCGTGGTGATTGTAGTAACCCTTTCAATATAATTTACACACCTCACTCACAATATGGACAAAAACAGATATAGGGCTACTGGAATGGAGTGCTCCTGTGGGTTACCTGATTAACAGATCTGATGCGCTGTTTTTTTTTTACAAGCCACTGCAGTTCTGAGGCACCCTGAGAACTAAGTGTGAGCGCAAGCTATCTTTTGCAATGATACAAAGTTGTAACGTTGCTTAGAATGACCCCTTAAAACTATTCTATTTACCATGATACAGGCATATTGTTTAACAGTGCAAAAGAAACAGAAAAGACAGACCTGAAACAGCTATCCGGATGAGTACTGGATAACAGAACCAAAACAAGGAACTATTCCTGTAGTTCCAGGATACTTGTCACATATTTAGAAAATATGGAAGTGTCTCTGAAGAATGCATTTTTTCAGTATGGTGGCAACTATATGGGAGAATATGAGAGACAGAGAGACAAAGAATAATATTAACCCATTAAGGCCAGATGGTTAGGCAAATCCCAATGTTTAATGACAGGGCTGGCATGTCACTGATCTTTCTTTTGCAGTTCTACAATTCTCCACATGCCACAAGCAGGACATTTGAAAAGTAAAATACAAAGGTAGTTCCAGCAGGTGGACATGAACAAGCAGACCCAAATAAATGCGTATTTAATGAACTATAAAAAGAAAACTCTGAACTGCCAAATTTAGGCTAAAAAAGTAAATCCTCTTTCTATAGCGATGTTGGACACGTGTTCTAAATGTACTATTTTCACCTAAATTTGACTATTCCTTGTTCAATTTGAGACAATGGATAAACCCCTTATATTGTAAAGTACATACAAACTCAAAAACCACACTCCCCTCGGCTTGCATAGGCCCCATAAATAATATTTCCTAATCATTTGACTTTCTTCCTGCCCCCCATGTCCCTTTTTTGGATAACTCCAGCCATTTGGACCCTACTCAGAGTCTGTGAATTGACCCAACCAATGAGAGACTCCCACAACCCCTGTGAGATACTACAGCCCCCAAAACCATTGTGCATGCACTACTATAAAAACACTTTTCCTGAATGTGTACAGTCCCAATATTAAATATACTTCATTTTGAGATTGCTTTATTTACTAAACTCATGGCCATAAATAATTTCTACAAAATTAATAAGTTTACTAAACAATGCAGTGTAACTGAGCACAGGAAGAGAAATGAACTACCTATGCAGTCATTGTTTTTTTTTTTGTTAGTGTTTTTTTTTGTTCAACCACCAATCATCTGCAATTCAAGACTGTCACAGGTTTATTGTAAAGGGAGGGTGAAGGAGAGTTGGGGACTTCCCCCTGAACACCATGCTATACAACAGTATGATTTCCCAGAAATGATGCTCGCTAATGAGTTCCACTGTGACCAATAGGGGCGCCGTAACGTTTGCTGGGCTGGACTTGCTCTTTATAATACCTGGGCTTCCCCACAACATCTAATATATTCTCTGTAGCTTGATCAAGAAAAGATCTTTCAAGGAAAATATTATTGCACCTACTTTGCTCTCTACCAAGAACAGCAGAAGGATTATTACTTTTCTTTTATATTTTCTAAGTGACAGCAGGATTGTACAAACCAGAAAAGGTACAGTGTGCAGCTATACACTCATTGATACATCACTTGTCTAACCTGCAACTTTTATTCATGCACCCTAGTAAATCTGACATTTTGAGCACATGCAAAATAAATATGCATTTGATGTTTTAGTGAGGCTCAGTTGCATGTTATCTGTTGAATGTGGATTTGTATTATTTTTAAAAAATATATATATATTTTTGAGTTATTAAACACATCTAAAAATATCCATGCATCTTCTATGCATTCGAATGTGTTTATCTGCAGAGTTCTGCAGATTGTTGCTGGTTTAAAAGCTTGAAGTAATTACAGCACGCATTTTCATTAAATCCATTGTACAGCGCTGCGAAATGTGTTGGCTCCTTATGAATAATAATTTACAACACTGCAATAGTTTTAAAAATGCTCTATTCTATTAGACAACAGGCAGTGTTTTATCACTTGTCAGTTATTATCATTGTCAAGTCAATGCAATAACTAATGTTCCAAGTTTAGAATCCAGCTCTAAAACTGAAAATGCAACAATGTTTAATTTACAAAAAAAAAGAAGTATATAATAAGAATGATATAGTATTAGTAGAATTTAGCTCAAAAGCGGCAAATGTTAGAATTTTTGCATTTATAAACATATATATACAAATGCAAAAATTTTATAAATAAACATACATGCAGCGTGTTGTGTTGCAGCGACCGGCAGAGTGAATGAGGAAGTACTGGGAGAAAAATAACAAAGTCTGTTAGACAGCAGGGGAGGAGGGAAACAGGAACACAAAGGGCAGAAGCATGTAAAGGCTATTGCAGGGTGTAATTGTCATCATAAATCTATATTTGCATAGATTTAAGGAGCGTCCTTTAGGTTTATAGTTATGCTGATAACGTGCCTAAGATCTCTAAAGTATCTTGCACGAATAAAAAAAAAAGAAAAAGAATCTAAATTTGAGGTTATTGCTAAAAGCTAACAGCTGGTTCGTTCCTGTGTATCTGTCACGCACATGGCTCCGAATGTTGATTTGCATGTAATTCAATTGTTTATTAGATTATTGAGAAATGTTTTTTGGCAAACATTCCATGTGACTGTTCCAAGAAATGAAATAAATAAATTATAAAAATGTAGTGTAATGGCTTCCCTTGGTTGCTATAAAGGACTAAATGCACAGTTGTTGTGGACAGAACTCTTGACAACATGCATGTAGTAACCCTCTGGCACCGCAGGAGTTATCCACTGCAGCTGTGTTTGGGATTTTTTGCAAGCTGTCAGCTTTCCCTCCATTAGTGATATACAGTGCAATACAGAAAAGGGGTGTGGTCGTGCACAAAAGTTCAGCTATAAGAAGAGGGATCTGTGTGCAGACTGCCTGCTGCCTTCCAACTTTAGCTTTTCATTAAAATATATAAAAAAAAAAATACTTCTGTGTATACTTTCATGTATAAATGTGTAGCAAGAGGCAGGAAGAGCCCACAGCTCCGTTCATTGGCACTTAATCTTTGCTTTATCTGTAAAAGCTCCAACATGTTCTGTAGCGCTGTACAATAGTTAACATATAATTTATTTGAATTCTCATATCTCAAGTGGTAGTTTTTGTAATCATTACGCTGCCAGAAAAAAAGCAAAAAACACACTGTGCACTTTGTGGCAGAGAATGAGTTAAAATGTTGGCTTTATCGGTCTCCTTAGTTTATTGTATGACATCAAATCCCCTGGCATAGCCATGAAAACTTTGATTTGTACTGTCTACAACTAAATTCAGTGCACCTGATTTACTTTTTTTGTTATCAAGTATATGCCTAAAATATGTAGATTTCATATATTAATTGGGTAGAAGAGAAAATTAGATTAGCGTAGGAAGTATTTCTCCTGAAGAAATCAGGATTTATTATGTTACAACTCACAAGGTGGCAGTAAGACAATAGAACAGCTAAACATGTCCAAGTGTAAACAGAGGATAGGAGGACACCGTCCACATGTATCCACTAGTTTGTATTACTCAAGCTGTGTGTTTTTTTTATGAGTCAGCCAGAACTGTTTTAACTGGTATTCCCCCAGATAATCATTGGGCCTCGGGGTTTTTTTTGTAATCATTTTAAGCCAAATTTAAAGGAAACAAAAAAAAAGTTACTGAATTGTTTCAGTGATTATGACCACAACTAAATATATATATATATATCAGCTTAATTAAATTCAAAGTTTTTAAATCTTTTCACAGAAACATGCCTGTTCCACGTCTGCGGATGAGACCTTGGCTTGAAAAGCAGATTGAATCTAAGGCCATCCCTGGCCTCTCATGGGTTAACAAGGTAACCTATAAAAAAAATGTATTATTCATATACCGTGCTTATCCATGTAGACTATGTAGTCATTCAAAAAAAAAATAAGAATTGAAAAATAAAATAGTACATTTAATATATTTTATGATAACGTATATAAAGCTCATAAGTAGGAATTATCCCTGATTCTATTCACATACAACCTTTACAGGTAAACATAACAACTTTTACATTTGAACTTCTAAGTAGAATACAACTAAATATGTAACCATGTTACAATTGAGAAAATACAGTTATTTACTTATGTTGAAAATCAACAATTATAATATTTTAAATGGACAACAATCTAGGCCAGAGGTGGGCAATCCTTGGCCCTCCAGATGTTATGGACTACAACTCCCTTGATGCTTTGCGAGCATTAGGGCCCTAAGAGCATTATGGGAGATGTAGTCCAAAACATCTGGAGGGCCAAAGATTGCCCACCCCTGATCTAGGCTATTATTTGCTAAAAAAAAAAAAAAAAAATGTACACAGTAAGACAAAATGATTTTATATTTTTTTTCATCAGGAAGAAAAACTTTTCCAGATCCCTTGGAAGCATGCAGCAAGACAAGGCTGGGACATTAATAAGGATGCCTGCCTGTTCAGGAGCTGGGCTATTCATACAGGTACACTTCTTATAGTAATCTACTAGGTGTGTTATCTACAGTTGAAAATGGTTTAGATAAATCAGATTAGATTATTAGCTGTACTTATTTTTTTCCTTTTCATTCAAGGGAGATACAAAGAAGGAGAAAAGGAACCTGATGCTAAAACATGGAAAGCGAACTTCCGATGTGCTATGAACTCTTTACCTGATATACGAGAAGTTAAGGACAAAAGTGTGTACAAAGGATCAAGTGCTGTCCGTGTTTACAAAATGCTACCTGCCCAAGTCAAGGTAGAACGAAAAGGTAAGAGATAAGGATATAGATATATATTTATATATGCCTGTATGTACTTTATGGTTTCATATTGTTTGTGATATGTATATGCCATGTAATATGCATATACTGTATGTGATAATAAATGGTATGTGGGATATTTTAAATGGTTAATATGAACATATCTTAATATAACATTTCATCAAAGAAAATAAAGACAGTCACGGGGGATTGATTTATGTCCTCTATTCTTTACCTGTAAGCCCTATAACTAATAATATATATAATAATAACTAATAAATATATTTTGCAAGGAAACTAATTTGTATAAATTACAGAATTTCCAATATTAGAATTTTAAACTAGACTTTTCTTTTGTGTTTTTTTTTTTTTTTTTACAGAACGGAAGTCCAAGTTAATAAAGGATGCAAAGAGCAAACTTAGTAAAAAGGTAATTTTTGTTTTAGAATGTAGTACTCACACTGCTTGTGCATACTGTCTTAATTAGTACTGCCAACAAACTTTATAGTAATGTTACCAATGACTAAAAGTATATATTTTTTCTCTTGTAGGGTTCTGATTCATCACAAGAAGAAATTGAGGAAGCTGTTAAACACACTCACGCTATGGGAGACCATTGCTACACTTCAAATGTCTACACAGAACAAGAAATAGCCATTGCAAATGTAGACATCATGGGTGAGACTTTATTTTTACAAATCTTAAAATGCTCAACTATTCTTGCAGTAACAATGTTGTAAATATAATCCATTTTTTAACTTAGTGCCCAACATCTACATCATCAACTGCATTAGAAGTTTTATCTTTTTTTTTTGTTTTTTATCAGTGATAAAAAGTAGAATTAAGGCAAACAGACATTAGAACCCAAAATGCACAACGTGTTTTTCTTGTGACTTTTCTTTATGGCCCTTCCATTATGCCATGGAATACTCTAAAGTCTATAATATAACAGAAGATATTTTTAAAGTATTTGTTTTGATGGATTGTAAATAAATTAGAAGTCTGGTGCCTCTGATATGGCTGAGGCACATACGTTTACAACTGTTTCTTCATTCAGTGTCTGATATTTTCAGTAAGTTAAAATATCAGACTGTTGAAAAATAAGCTGTAATTTCTCAAAATTTAAGGCAGCCATATTCATGTACTGGGCATTTAAATGTGGATGACAAAGGTTCAAGACAGATTGAGATTCAGTCTTTGAATATGAAGACTTTCGATTTAACACCTTAATAGCTTAAGGTCTGATATCTGCATATTAAGGCTAAAGAAAACAATAGACATAAACGTTTGACAATTTTTAATGAACATCTAATTATCATTAAAAAAAATACGTGAAATCTAACACAAGCTTTTTTTTTGCAGATTTACTTGAAAGTGAAGAAGTCACCAGCAAAGAATGGAATAACCAGTTGGATATACCATTACCTGACAGTACAAATAATATGTACTCTTTCCAAGTCTCTCCCATCACTTCTTCCTCAGAAGGTAACTATCAAACGATCAATATAAAATATGTATTTACTTTACTGAATCAAGGCAGAATTGTATTGTATGACCTGATAAGCATTTTCATGTGACATAGAAATATTTTAGTTTTAGATGATGGTAAAGTCTCAAGAGATACAAAAAGTCAGTAAGGGACCAAACTGGACACTTTAATTTTAGGTGTGTGGCCAGATGCGGGACTGTACTGAGAAATGTAAAGTTACTTACTAAAAACAATTTATGCAACTAAAATGTAATTTAGAACAAGAACATTGAATCTTATTTACACAGACTGATTTAAAAACATGACTGAGGGAATTATTGCTGTGTCCTACTTTAGGAAAGAAAATAGAGACAGAGGGATTTGTGCTCAAAATAAGGACCGTCCCTCCTAAATAGGGACACTTTGCAGAGATGTGAAAGGGGAGCAGAAACCCAACACCTTGATGGGTCGGTCATACACCATGTGACTCAGCAGAAGCAATAGGCAGCTAAGCACACAATACTAGTGGTGACCGGTGTATATAGTGCAATTGTTTACAATAAATGTAAAGGAATTCAATGTTTTAAGGAAATGAAACATGATCATTGTATCTTGTTTTAATGTATGACATGGAAAACACATTGCAATCTCTTGTTTTGTTAATGAAAACGTCTAAAATTGTTAAAATAAAATGTTGGATATTAGCAATGTTTATTTAACTAACTCCATCATGTCTTCTTCAGATATCAAATAATTTTTAAGCTGGACTGCTAAATTTCTGTTTTATTTTTATAAAGTATATTTTAGTAATATTGTATTTATTCACACTATAACGTCATATATATATAAACAGTCTAGGAATTTAAATGATTTCAATCTCAAATTAAATTCCATTTTCTTTTCTGTTACAGAGGATGAAGATGATATGAAGGTGAGTTACTATTCTTTTTTCCTGAACCTAAAAGAAATAGCTTAAACTAGGGGTAGCCAAATTGTAGACCCCAAGATGTTTTAAAACTACAGCTTCCATGATGCGAGAGGCATGCTAACGACATGCAAAACAGTGATTTATACATAGTGTAGGAGTTAGAACAGGTGTAGTTTTCCAGAGAGAAGTTGCATTCCAAAAATATGTGAAACATTACTTCTCTGGCACTTGTTTAGCATCAGCAATCCAGAAAAATTCCAAGGAACAACAAGCATTATCGTTTTGCACACCAGGCTCACAAGAGTTTAGATTCACAGTAGCAAGACAGCTTACGCTTACTCATATCTGGCCTAGAATGTAGTATGTGTTTTTAAATGCACTATTTATGAATGTAGTTATTGTAAGTGCACTCTAAGAATACAAACCCCATAATGTTTTTCTGTGTGAATCCCTTGAATGTTAATGTTTTGCTGTTTATTTCAGACGTGGGATTCAAATGCTGAATGGCAACATACCAACATAGATGGCAACAGATATTTTACGAATGAATCTGGCGTCCAAAACAACTGCATAACAGAGATGAATCCGGTGTTCGATGACCTAAGTAAGGTGGCTGGTGTACATACATTTTCTATAATTTAATAAAATAAATAAGTGTATTGCTTATCTTTGTAGATGATGATCACCACTGAAGCATTTATATTTGTGCTTTATTTTAATACCCTCAATATACTTAAATGGAAAAAACAGTGGCAATATTCAACATTTTAGACAATTTTAGAAATTGGCTCAACAAAACAAAGATATTGCAATTGCAGGAGACTAAACCACAACAAAATGGCACTGAGTGAGCAGCTTTTAACTCACAATCTGACTGCAGACCGTACAATTATCTACAAACAGTTAGTGATGTTCTTACTATTTGTCTCCCTGAATGTCCTCTCCTTCTAATGCAGGTTGCTTTGTAGTTCACATCACTTTGTACTGCTAGTGACCAAGCTTTGTGGATTTAAAGGAAGTTTTTTTTCTGGAGAGTGGGGGCATAACTTATTGTGCAGCATTCTGGAGAACATTAAAAAAAAAACTATAAAAAAATTAAACATGCAAACAAATACCACATATTAAAGAGGCCATAACCTATCAAATCTATTAAAGTTGTATTGCTGCCTGGAGTGTCCCTCTAAGGCCAAAATAGCTGAAATAGAAACATTCTCAAAGTCAACTATGCTTCCAGTTGGACCTTTTTTGGTCTAATTTATTTTAAATAAACTTTGATTTCCTGGCAGTTCTCAATTAAGTGAACAACCATGTTGATGTATAACTGTCACTTCACTATGCAAAACTACCTAAAAGTTAAGGGTTATTGTTTTTTTAATCCTCATGGTGCAAAGTGTGCAAATGCATGTACAGTACCATGCATACGTGCACCTGGAACATCATGAGGTGTTAACCTCATACATAGAAGTGCTGTGGTGGAAGGTGTGTTTTATGCTTACCTCTGCACTCTTCACCTCAGAGACCACTTCAATAGCATTCACTAGGGTGATGGATTGAGAAACTGTAAATAACTTTTCTAAAATGTCAGTGTATTTGCATGTAGTTTTCTAGTAAGTTCTGTTGCAGTTGTTGTCATAATAATTTTTCAATCTCATTAGGATTAGTTATTCTCAGACTTACAGTTCCACAGACTAAGGCATTCTTGTCATTCTCAAATAAGGGCCATGTTTGGCCTCGAGGTACAACTTGTTTATAAAGAGGGTAATTTATAAGGCCGACAATGGCTAAAGTTTCCATCTTAGCTGGATAGAGAACACTCTTCTGCAACAATTTTTCTTAACCAATAATAACATTCATCACCCTGATCTATAGTGAGGTCTGGGGCACCTATTTATTTTTTATCACTGCTTCTCTGAAAGAATGCAATGACATAGAAATGCAGAAACATGACTGAAGCTAGGTCAGTGGCAAACTAAAATACAGATTGAAACAAAATGTATATATGCTGGTGTGTGGATTTTCATCTTTTAGTTATTCTGGAGCTGAACTATGTTTCTTTAATGAAATTGTACCACATCCTGCCAGTAATTTTTCTGCTTACATTCGCACGCTTTTTTAGACAGTGTAATTGTATTCATTCGTGTTTAGTTGTGTTTCTCACTTTGTTACATTTTTCTTTTATTCCAGGAGAAAATGACCTCCGGTTGCCAACAGATATGAGGACTGGGTTTGATATCTGGAAAGAGCACTCATTTTCATGGGCTACAGGACTGTCTCCTATTTGCTCTTTGTGAAATGAATCCTGCCTTATTAGAAAGGCTGTTTATCACTGAAAATAGTGACAATTAAGAAGATGTTTTCCTTTCTTTGGAATCAGAAACAAAAAAAGAGAACCAAAACAATAATTTCTTCATGGCGCTTAACCATGGGATAGAATTATGAACTTCCTGTTGCTATTTTGTTTGTCAAAAACTTTAGCACAGGGCATTTCACTACATTCTTTCTGATCATCTTAGAGGGGATTCTGCATTTCAGTATCTGGCTGGAAACACAAAACATTGGTGCATCAGGGATCTGGAGACATCCTTTGGTAACGAGAGAATTTCATTAGTGTAGAAATATGTACTGGGTGGATTGGTCAAGCAGGGGAAAATCAAAATAGTTGCTGGATAAGAAGAGCGGAGCTCAGAGTATGCATTATTTAACCGAACTCTGAAGAATAGGGCTTTGACACCAATAGCTATCACTCAGCTGTGAATATCAGATTCTTTGGAAAGATCTTATGACTGAGCCAGATGGGAATACTTTGCTTAACCAGTCATAAAGCACTTAATATTCATACACTTTGGAACTTCCTGTACATTTAACATTATTGCATTAACTGTGTGATGCGACTATCAGTTTAAAAACAAAGTTCACTTATTTATTTAGATCAACTAAAGCCATACTGAATACATGTCTTACTGAACTGTAAAGTAACAGGAGAACATTCTGCTATAAAACATCCACAGATGTGAAAACAGGTGCAAAATTGCTCTCAGACTCCATTTTATAGCAAGTATGGATAAAAGACATGGAAAGTTATTACATCACAACGCACTTTATATTAGTGATGTGAGACATTTTACATGAACAGCTTCTGTCTTATTTGTGGGCCAAAACCTTGCAAAACATATGTTTAACATATACATATATAAAATTATTGTTTGCCATTTACAATTCAGACACCTCAAACTGAATTTGAATGGATGATACGTGATAATGTTGGCATCCTATTAAAAACACATGTATTCTTGGAACAAATAAGAATGCGCTGTTGGTGTGGGTGGTAATATTCCACTCTTGTAAATAGTATATGTAGTTTGTATTAAGTATTTTCATGTGTGTGAATAAATTTTTATTTTAAAACTAAATTTTGTTTAAAGAATCTTATTTAGAAAATCTAAAATAAAAAAATATGGTGTGAAGTAAAGCATCGTGTGCGTTGTTTTGGATTGTACAGGAAAGTGAAAAAAAGACACTGAGATAAAGAAGTATCCGGTTTTGTAGGGAAAACAATGCAATTAGTAAAACAGACATAAGCAATGACGACGATCTGCAGCTCAGGATGTTTTGGGAAACTGTTGTAGAGCTGCACATCCTATTACATTTCTGCCATTATAAAGGGACACTGTAACTACTTAAAGGGACACTTAATGTAGTTGGTCTGGTGTCTACAGCCTGTATTTGCGGGCTTTGTAATGTAAACACTCTTTTCTCTATGAAGAGATGCTGATTGGCGTATCGTTTTGTGCCGAAGTCTCACAATGCTTTTCTATGGGAAAGCATTGGATTGGCTGAGATTGTCAAATAGAATGATCTCAGCTAAGGAGGCAGAGCTGGGCGGAGTCAACTGCAACAGACCTGCGTGGCACTGGAAATAAGGTGAGTTCTTTAACTTTTTAATGTGGGCCAGGGATCTCAAATGAGTTTTTACAACTATAGTGATTGGTTGAGTGAACCACTTTCAGCTTATCAGAGCTGCTTATTGATTGTATGAATTGGGATTTTCAGGGTTATTTACTAAAGTGAAATATTTTGGAAATTTAAAGTGCATCTCAAATCTAAAGCTAAAATGAAAAAAATCTCCAATTCAGTCATGCCCCCACTAAAATGTGAGATTCATTTTGAAATCTCAGCCACTCTCACTTTGGTAAAAACCTTGATTGTGATATTTATATTCTTGTGTTTTGGATTTAATATTTTCCAGCTTGCAAACATCATCTTTCTAATTACAAGTTTATTTTGTGCCATTCTTATTCTTTCAAAGTTGAAATTGCTCCAAGTAGGGGTACATTTAGGATCCACTGGGCCCAAGTGCAAGGATAAAAAATATTTTTTAATTTAAGTATATTGCCTTAATCAATATACCCGAGTGGGATGGTTGTGGTGGTTCTAGTTCACATATCATAGAAAGCCAAAAAGGTAATTCAACATTCCAAATGTGATTCATCATAAATAGACCAAGACAATATTGTGAACATAATCCACTAACATATATAGTTAGGTGTGTCCAAACTCATAAAAGATTAGGAAAAAGGAAGACGGGAGGGCTAAACAAAAAAGTGGGAATACGGAGAACAAGAAAGAGGAAACAAGGGAAAGAAGAAAAAACACAATTTAAAGGGGTCCCCCATTCCCAATCCCCATGAAACAAAGACAAAAGGCTCAGCCCAGAGACAGGATCCATCTTACTGATGGGACTCTCCCTGTCATCTAGAGACTATGAACTACGCAAGAAGGGTCTGCACCTCGCGTGAGGAGAGGTAACCCATTCCATAAAAAACATTGGGTTGTAAAACGCTACATTTCGGTCTCATGTGGCCAACATACTTTCAGACTGCTTGAGCTCCTCAGCGCTAACCACCCAGTGGGTGAGAGATGGGGACTCGGTGCTATGCCAGGTCAGTGGTATTGTTGCTTTAGCAGTGCATAGCAATGAGCCACCACCGAGGTCCAGTATGATTTAATGATTTCTTATATAGTAATGTAGAAACATGAATGCTGGCATAAAGGAGGGGTGGGTCCTCCAAGAGTTTGCAAATAATTCTATGGTTCGCTTTCCAAAAGTACTGCATCTTGTGCACTCCAACCATATGTGTGCCATGCTGCCTGTGCTTTGTGAGCATGTCCAACATATATCGGATATATGTGGCATCTTAGCGTGTAGTGACTCTGGTGTTTGATACCAGCGTGTGATCACCTTATAGGAGTTCTCCTGGAGCTGAATCAAGGGGCTACATTTGTGTGTCAGATCATGATTTCGTCCCATTTTGACTCTTCCAGTCTGATTTCCAACTCCTCCTCCCACTTTCACACACAAGAGTGCAGCAAAGAGTATCTGTTTTCCACCAACATTGAGTAAACTAGCGAGATGCCTCTCTGTGGGAGGGTCTCCATGCCATTATAGTCTATGGTCGATAAATTCTGGTGGCTTAGTGTGGTTTGTATGAAGCTGTCTAAGTGTGCTTTTGTGTGACGTTGGCTGAGTGATGATTGTCTATGGAGGTGACTGAATGTGGTTGTGCATTGACTGAGTGTGTGGGGGTTGTGTATGTTTTTTTGTTGTCTTTTTAAAGTGTTTAATCACCTTTCTGCTTACATTTCTGCAGGGCTGTGGTATAATCCCTGGTGATCAAGTAGGGAAGCATGTGGTTTGCACCTCCAGCAGGTGCAGACCACATAAACACAGGAAAGTTCTGGCACTCAGTGGATCAGTCAGAGAGTTGCCATGGCACTCAGTGGATCAGTCAGAGAGTTGCCATGGTCACCTGGTGGGGTAGTTTGTATTTTAGTATACAGCTGAACTGGTGTTATATTCAAAGAAATGGCCCTGCTTCGAGGATCTCAGCCTGGCCCGGGTCCCCTTAACAACGAAATTCCAGGGCCGTTTGACTTTCCTAACCCTAGTAGTTTCACCACTGCTCCCCTTTTAGTAGCTTAGAAAACGTTTAAAAAAAAAAAAAGTTGATAAATCTCCCCAGTATGTTTGCCTGCCCCCACACTAGCATTGCATGTATAACTATATATATATTTTAAACCATCTTAAAATGATTAAAAATTTTCTACTGTGAGGAAATCTACTTTCAGACATGTATATACATTGTGACATTGAAAAGGTTGGAGAAATTGTAACAGTAAGTTTTTATCTACATTGTGTTTATATCAGCAGTTATGTTTACAAGGGTGTGTAGCCCTGTTATTCACTAGGGCTGTGCAAAATGATCCCTAATACTTTTACGGTAATCCTTGCCCAATTCTGTGAGTCCCGTTCAGTTCCTACACCTATTAATTACACTTAAAGGACCACTCTAGGCACCCAGACCACTTCAGCTTAATGAAGTGGTCTGGGTGCCTGGTCCAGCTAGGGTTAACCCATTTATTTTATAAACATAGCAGTTTCAGAGAAACTGCTATGTTTAAAAATAGGTTAATCAAGCCTCTAATGCCTCTAGTGGCTGTCTCACTGACAGCCGCTAGAGGTGTTTGCGTGCTTCTCACTGTGAAAATCACAGTGAGAAGACGCAAGCGTCCATAGGAAAGCATTATGAATGCTTTCCTATGAGACTCGCTGAATGCGCGCGCAGATCCTGCCGCACATGCGCATTCAGCCGAAGAGGAGGAGGAGAGGCGGAGAGGAAGAGGAGAGCTACCTGTCCGGCGCTGGAGAAAGGTAAGATTTTAACCCCTTCCTCTCCCCAGAGCCGGGTGGGAGGGGGTCCCTGAGTATGTTTTCCTGGCACTATAGTGGTCCTTTAAACTGTGAGAATGCATTTGATAGAATTTGACTTCGCTATGAAAGAATGCACAACAACTTTACTGACCTGTTGAATGAACGAATCACACTCACATAAGGGCCCAGGCAGCATCCATTCATTTGTTTACAATGCTTTTAGATATTTATTTTTTCCTGTGAATGAAAGCAAACCACAGATAAATAAGAAACATCCAGAAGTAAGTATATATTTTCCATGCTGCATTATCCGTAAGTGTACATTCAATTATACATTGAAATAAAAAGATTCAGTTCATCTGGAAAATTTTATTTATTTATTTATTTATTTTAAACTTTTTATTGTATGTTCAACAGTAGGGTACAGAAAGTAAGAGGGGGGAACATGGGAGAAAGAAAAGAATACATAATTTTACCGTACATTTCACTTGATACATTCAACATTATACACCGTGTTGTCTCTTGATTTTATAATAGTTGCAGGTTTGACATCCTAATAGCAATTCCTATGTGGTGCAGCATAAACAATTCAGGTAGCCAAGTCAAGGTTTCGGAAGGGAGGGGGGATAGGGTACAGAAATTAGAGCGAGAATGGGAGGGAATTTTGAGCGACAGGTGGTGCGGTTTTCTAGTTAGTTGGAAGGTGCAGTTTACGAAATTGTGTGGGCTTTATAGTTGGCGATCCACCAGCATCCCTACCCGGAACTCTTGTGTACCACTCTGCGATATTGGCAGCTATGGTCCTCGAGGTTTCACAAATAGTGTATGGGTATCCAGTGTGGAGTGTGTAGCTTTTCATAAACGTCGACGGACAGTTGTCCTGGTGTTAGTAGGCAAAGTGTCGTTTGTTTGGAAAATTATTTTATTTGTGCAATTGGATTTTTTCCATTGAGCGTTTTGATTTAGATAAATTTTTGTCCATGCTATATTTTTTGGGAAAAACAAGTAGGATAAACCAGAAGGTTAATCAGTATGTATAGCAAAATATAAATATGGCAAATTTTTGCGCCATTTGGTTTACAGTTCAAATGACAAAAAGTAGCCAACACAGGAGGAGCTATATTTATATATTATATATTTATGAGATATAAAAATACTGTTACTTTTTTATTTCTCTGCCATTTTCCCCACTGTCGGTCTCTTCTCACTCGATCTGTGAATAAAATCAAAATTCAATGACTGTCCTCCTAATGATCAATCATCTTTTTTCCCCATCGATCATATATTTATTTTTTTGACTCAAGGAAAGAACTCTGAATCACGAAACAAATTAAACTGGTATTCCATTGTCCATTTATTTTGTTTTGTGATTCATCCATATGTCATTTTGGAATATCAGATGAGAAGTTTTCAGGAGAAAGTCTAATGTTCATTATCCCATTTAGTGGATACACCAATCATTTTTAATACATTATCAAGAGCATGGACTGCGAGGTAGTAGAGCTGGGTGAAAAGCTCACATGAGGTCCCATTGCAATATTTTACACACCTCTAATATACCTGTAACCTAAGGAGATCAACGCAGTATTATTATGTAGAACTGTAATTAGTCACCTGGTCTCTCTAACCTATACACACGGCATGCTAATGCCAAGCCAACAATGTCACTTGTTACCTGTTACTAAGACACATTACACACACATCTAAGTTATAGGAGTGTACACAGCGCCAGGTGTGCACCCATAAAACATAATGCAGGTGGAGCTGCTTCACAGCTGGCAGACATCAAAAGATCTCCCTGACTAGCCCTGCGCTGTCTAATATTCTTCCGATCAACCTGACCTGCACCATGTGTGCTATTTATTTTTCCGGACATCCCAAAGTGGTAAGGCTGCACTCAGTACATTGCTGCCTACACTGCTGTCTCAGCTACTTTCACACCAAAAGTAGGCAGCTATGTTTTTTAATAATTGTAGAACTAGCACAAAGCCCAACAGTTCTGAAAATGTATATAATTATAATGAGCTCTGAGTTTTATTGCTGCCATATCTCTTCCTAATGCACCCATCCTGCCATCAAACCCTCTCTACTCTTCCTCTCTCCCTATCAAGCCCCTCATGTTTCCTTCTTCCCCATTCCCTTCTATCTCCCTATCACCCCCACCCATTCTCTTCTCACCCCCACCCATCTCTCTCTCTCCTATCACATAAACGAATCCCTCCTTTTTCTCATAATTCTCACATCACTACCTCCCTCACTCCAACTTCTAAACCTATCCCTCCCTCTCTTGCTATTTTACCAAATCCCATTCTTACTCCTCATCCCCCCCATCATTCCTCTCTCACCACCCCTCCCCTCCATTCTTCCATCAAAGAATTCTTGGATGCACAGACTAATAAAATGCGCACGCATATGGTCTAAATCTAGCTAGTTAACCATGAAACTATATAATGTTGTATATGATCTGATCTTGGCACCATACATAACATTTGAAAGTTCAAGTTGCTGAAATTCCACTGCAAGTTCATGGGAAGGTTACAAAACCAGAGGCAAAAAGAACAAATGAACTATTGGAAAAAAAAACCCACAAACATAAAAAAAAGATTTGTGTGAATGCGAGTCAAATTTGAATATAAATGTAGTTAGGCTTATATAATAAATAAATATTCTATAAATATTTATATTTATTTCTAAATATATATTTATATATCAGATTGCAAAATAACAAAGTATTGCAGTATTTAATTATATTTTTTTTATTGGACTAACATAATATTTAAAAAGACAAGCTTTTTAGAGTTTTCCTCTCTTCCTCGGGTCTGAAGCAATACTGATCAATCTGATTGAGTTTAACAGTTAAAATAACTGATGTTTTTTAAAACGGGGAAAAAAAAAAGAACAGGGCGCAGAGCATACAAATACAGACACACACACGGCAACGCTCTGACCGGGTCTCACGAGATACATGGTCTGCAGCTCGGATATCCTTAACACCGGACCACCAGGTCGCCCACCGAACCACCAGGGAGAGAAACAAGGTAATTCTCCTCCCCAGTATCTCCCCCTTCCACATCATCACTCCCTCCCAGTATCTCCCCTTTCCACATCATTACTCCCTCCCTCCCAGTATCTCCCCCTTCCACATCATCACTCCCTCCCAGTATCTCCCCCTTCCACCTCATTACTCCCTCCCTCCCAGTATCTCCCCCTTCCACATCATCACTCCCTCCCAGTATCTCCCCCTTCCACCTCATTACTCCCTCCCTCCCAGTATCTCCCCCTTCCACATCATTACTCCCTCCCTCCCAGTATCTCCCCCTTCAACATCATCAATCCCTCCCTCCCAGTATCCCCCACCCCTTAACCTCTCCCAGTATCCCCCCTCTTTCACACTATTACCCTCTTCCCTCCCAATGTTCCCCCCTCACACTTTATTCACATCTCAAAGCCTTTGGAACAAAGCTGCAACTTTTCCTAAGGCAGTTGTCACAAACACAGCCCAATCCCATAAATTTTTCAGCGTTACAGGAAATAATAAACAGTTTTCCACAGGACAATATCAGTGCGCAAACGAGTAGGTAAAACGGCGCTTTCAGGATTTTGCTGCTATTGAAAGGGAGATCAGCCTTTTCTCCTCTCCATTCTCTGTTGACCCCAATGATGCTCCAGATCAGCTGCAGCTCAAGCTCATTGAGCTGCATTGTGACAGAAAGTTACGCATTTGTCACAAACAGCTCTCTCTTATGAACTTTTACCGCCATCTGAATAAGAGCCGGTTTCAAGAGATTCGAACATTGGCTAAGAAAATGCTGAGCTTGTTTGGCTCAACATATTTGTGCGAGAAGACATTCTTTGCTATGAACTTTAACAAGAACCGTGTGAGGACAAGACTAAGTTCCTGTTCAGATTTTTTTAACTTAAAAGTTGACATACAACCTTTATTACTAATAATATGTTATGTACTTTACAATGTTCCTGACATATATTTTAGCGTCCTGGTTTTTTTTTTAACACCTGTTTAGATTTGTTAGATTAGATTCAGATCCATGTGATGAAATTAAAAGTATGCCGTTTGCAATAAACTTTTGCATAAAATAGTTAATTTGTATTTAATTTTAATGGTTCAAAGAAAGTCAGGCAAAATGGTCGGCCCTCACGCACGTTCATTTAATCAAATCTGGCTCTCCTTGTCTTAAACGATTGAAGACTAGGGGAGAGTCTGATGGCGGTAGGCAGGCTATTCCATGGGGAGAGAGCCGAACGTGAGAAGTCCTGCAAGCGTGCAAGCGTGAATTGGCCGTATGGGTGCGAGCAGCAGAAAGTGGATGAGTACTTTGAATTGACTCTGATATGATACAGGAAGCCAATGTAAGGACTGACAGAGGGGTTAGGTGTGAGAAGGCCAGCAGCATTCATTACAGACTGTAGCGCAGGGGAAGGCAACGTTTTAGCAGCACTGTGCCGATATAGGATTGTGATGTCCCGTAGCGTGCCGGTCCTATTTTATTTTTTTTTAAATCGAGGGGTGTATGCTGCCGTATTCTGCTTGTGTTATTTTTACTGTAATTGCTTTGTATCGTTGTATTTGTGCGTATATGCAGGGCCGTCTTTAATAGTGACTGGACCCTGGGCAAAGCATTTGCTTGGGGCCCCCTGGACCCTGTCCCCCCTCCCCAGGCATGCAATCACGTCCTCCACCTCAACGCAGTGGCGGACCTAAAGTAGAGAGGTGCAAGAATTTTTGGGGGTCTCCCTGTTGCACGGGTGATTTAAAGGTAGATCCCCATCTGTCGTGCAACTCCAGAAATGCATTGACAGCTGGGGTTCTACCATTTACCCATGTTTGCAGGTCTGTATTTAACACTAAGCAGTTTTTGTGTGTTTGAATGTGAACAGGTTTTTGTATGGAATATGTTTGTATGTGGTGTTGGCGTGATTGCAAGCATGTATTTGTGTAGTGTTGGTTTTTGAATGCAGGTGTGTATTTACATATAATTTTGGTGTGTAACACAGACATGTGTTTGTACGTAGTGTTGAAATTTGAATGCAGAGGTATATTTGTGTGAATGCTGAGATGTATGCACATATACACACACACACACAGATATATACACACTGAAATGCGCACACACACAGATATACTGACACACATACAGACATGCTGACATACAAACATACTGACACACACACAGATATACTGACACACAGACATGCTGACGCACACACACACACAGATATACTGACACACAAAGACATACTTAGTAGTATATTGTGTAAGAAAGGGAAGGATGCGGGCTATGTTTTTAAGGTGGAATCTACACGATCTGGTAACAGTGGATGTGAGGCTCAAAGGTGAGGCCAGAGTCAAGTATAACGCCAAGACAGCACAACAGCAGGGATTATTTAACCCCCACCCGACTACACTACATCTAATTCCCCTCCTAGTCACCTCCAAATGCCCGTAGGTCCCCCATATTACCTTTTTTAAAACTTTATTTTGTGCCTGGACCTAGGTCCTGGGAACCGCCATCTTTGTGTGGGCAGATGAAGGCCCTGTGGGACACGTCATCTGCCTACACTAGATAGCATTGTGAAATACCCGCGCATGCCCAGTTAAACATTTGGATGGGAATTTCGTCTATTTACTCATTCGTCAAAAAGACAAATGAATGAAAAGAAATTTCAAACGAATGAACGAAGACCTCTTTGTTCGTTCGTTAGTTTATTACAAGGAGGGAGCTACCGGCTCGCGGCTCCCTCCTTGTAATATGTGAAAATAAAAGCGGCGGGGAGCAGTGCTCTTAACTCCCCCATGCCTACTGTCAATCTATGAGGGTCAATATGACTGTAGCGGAGAGGCAGTATAATCCTCAATATCTCCGCTGGGTAACAGGAACAACATAAAATAATCCAGGGGAATAAATACAGCATACAATAATCCCGGTAGCGTTGAAGTAATCCTTCCTTCCCAAGAACTAGACGACACATAGGCTGGGAGTCAACTGAGGCTTTATTCACAGGCTCCACAATTTATACAATTCCCCATGCAAGGGGTTTCCTGAATCCCATCCCAGGGGCATTACAGGAGTGGACTACATGGGAAACTTAATGTACAGAGCCTTTCTCCCATCAGGCACTGCTGCACGAGAGGGATACTCCCACTGGAATATACCGTTAAATGGATTATCCCTCCATGCAGCAGAACCGACAATTCACATTAAAATACATAACTTTTCGAATGCTTGACAGATTTAAATGAATGGACATTCGTAGATAGCTGGGGTCTGAGCACACCGTTTGTGTGAATACCGCTCAGATCCCAGCTAAAACAACCAAACGCCGTACAAAAAACACATTATTCATAACACAAGTTAAAAATACCGACTGACATAGATGGACCAAACTACCGAACGGCCCGGGACTCCCGAACGGTCTGGAAGCCCAGTTCCATGCGCTCGATGACCAAACACCGCTGGGGAACAAAGGATCCAAGATGGCCAACCGACGCGTGGTCGGTAGCCGAACGGCGGCCACCTAGGAGAGCCTATAATTAACGATTGCAACAATGTTAACAAGCGCCATACGTCCCTTAGTGTGTGGGCTATTGAAAGATGGTTCATTCGGTTCACGAACGGCTCGCAAAGGTGCCGTTCGTGAAACGAAATAGAAAATGACTATCTGCTTTCTGCAGATAGCCAATACAAGCAATACAGCATGCAGGATATAGCAGATTACAAACAGGCACATACACAATGGTATTAAAAATACAGGCAACCCTTAAAAACATATTGTCCCTGTTTAGTCCAAGTGGCTAGGTTTGCCACAATGACCCTCATATTAGCAAAAAGCATTAAAATCTCCTGAATGCCTCTACTCATGATACCATAGAGTAGGGGCATGTCTACTAAACAGTAAGCAGCCAGTGGCTGCTCACTGTTAAAAAATTTTTTAATAAAAGCCCCCCACTCCCCAAATCAAATAATGGGGGACCTAGCACATGTGGGGCATTTTCTAAAATAATTAACAGGGGAGGACATAGTGATCTCCCCCAGCCCCCACCCGTGTCCTGTGAGTCCTCCCCCGACCAACCCATGAGCGGCGGGTGCGGGCTCTAAGTAACAAAAAAGGGGGGGACCTATTGTCTCCCCCCTCCGGCCCCCACCTATGAGCAGCAGGTAGGGGCCAAAAGTAGCAAAAGGGGGTAATCTATAGTTATCCCCCCCCGGGCCCCACCCATGAGGGTCGGGTGGGGGCCCTAAGTTACAAAAAAGGGGTTGGACCTCCCCCCTGCCCCCACCCATGAGCGGTGGGTGGGGTTACTAAGTAACAAAAGGGAGAGAGGACCTATTGTCTTCCACCCAACCCCCACCCATGAGCGGAAGATGGGGGCCAAAAGTAACAAAAGGGGGACACACCTATTGTTCCCTCAAACCCCACCCATTGGGTTTAATGTAAAAAAAATATCCCCCCACAATTAATTAGGGGTCCCCAGGCTCCTAGTCACCCCCTCCCCAATAAAATTAAACCCTACCTAGGGGGAGAAAAAAAGTAAATACCTGTAAATAAACAAATTATACTTACCAGCCCCCCAAAAAGCCAAACAAAAAGTCATAATTCCTGTCGAACTTTGAAAAAAAAATAATCCATGTTCACCCACTGAGGGCACCACGAAGACTGAGCTCCGCAGGGCCGACTCCAAAGGTGTTTCAGAGAATTTGGCAGTACATGCAACCGGCCTCACAACCACGTGTAATCACACCAGCCCAGGACTTCCTCATCCATTTTCACCTCCAAGATCGTCTGAGACCAGCCACCTGGAAAGCTGCTGCAACAATCAGTTTGCATAACCAAGGAATTTATGAACAAACTGTCAGAAACTGTCTCAAAAAGCTCTTCTACATGCTCGTCGTCCTCATTGGGGTCTCGACCTGACTGCAGTTCGTCATCGTAACCGACTTGAGTGGACAAATGCTCACATTCTATGCGTCTGGCACTTTGGAGAGGTGTTCTCTTCACGGATGAATCCGGGTTTTCAGTGTACAGGGCAGATGGCAGACAGCGTGTATGGCGTTGTGTGGGTGAGCGGTTTGCTGATTTCAATGTTGTAGATTGAGTGGCCAATGGTGGCGGTGGGGTTATGGTATGGGCAGGCGTATGTTATGGACAACGAACACAGGTGCATTTTATTGATGGCATTTTGAATGTACAGAGATACCGTAACGAGATTCTGAGGCCCATTGTTGGGCCATTCATCCACGACCATCATCTCATGTTGCAGCAATATAATGCACGGCCCCATGTTGCAAGGATCTGTACACAATTCCTTGAAGTTGAAAACATCCCAGTTCTTGCATGGCCAGCATACTCACTGGACATGTCACCCATTGAGTATGTTTGGGATACACTGGATTGGCGTATACGACAGCGTGTTCCAGGTCCTGCCAATATCTAGAAACTTTGCACAGCCATTGAAGAGGAGTGGACCAACATTCCACAGGCCATCGCTAACCTGATCAACTCTATGCGAAGGAGATGTGTTGCACTGCATGAGGCAAATGGTGGTCACACCAGATACTGACTGGTTTTCAGATCCCCCCGGACACCCCCAATACAGTAAAACGGCACATTTTAGAGTGGCCTTTTATTGTGGCCAGCCTTAGGCACACCCGTGCAATAATCAGGCTGTCTAATCAGCATCTAGATATGCCACACCTGTGAGGTGGATGGATTATCTCGGCAAAGGAGAAGTGCTCACTAACACAGATTTAGACAGATTTGTGAACAATATTTGAGAGAAATAGGCCTTTTGTGTACAATGAAAAAGTCTTAGACCTTTGAGTTCAGCTCATGAAAAATGGAGGCAAAAACTAAAGTGTTGCGTTTATAATTTTGTTCAGTGTAATTAACCACTTGCATAGAAATATTCTCAAAATCTATATTAGCCAGAAGGGAACTATAGTTATAGGATGGCTTATAAAGCCCCCAATGATGCTGGCAGAAGTTGGGTTACACCTCCAGCAACAGTGGGGTTAAACTCATAAGCTCATAAGAAAAGCTGCACATACAGACTAATGGCACCAGAACCAGGAGCAATTATTTTAGGTGTTACAGGAACAGCTTATATGCACAGTTTGCATGTGCAGCTTGGTCAGGTTTTCATGTATGCATTTAACATCACAGACATTTGTGATGGAAATAATCTGAGGAAGGAACTAGAGGGAGGAGGCAAGTCAAAAGAAAGGTCATAAAAAAAGGTTAGACATACTGTAGGAGTTGGTGGGAGGACATATGTGGAGAATAAAAACAAGAGAAGCTGCCAGCAAGGTGAGGAGGGGAGAAGCAGAGCAACACTCACATACAGTTTGGTAAAATATAGTGTAGATGATCATTTACTATTA